TCCTGGGGACTGGTACGCTACCCTCAATCTGCAGGACGCGTACTTCCACATCCATATATTCGAGGGGCACAGATGCTTCCTCCATTACACAGTTGGACAGGAACACTACCAATTTACGGTCCTCCCATTTGGCCTGTCCACTGCCTGCAGGGTATTTACAAAGTGTATGTCTGTGGAGGTGGCCTACTTCAGGCACCGTGGGGTCCAGATTTTCCCCTATCTGGATGCCTGGCTGGTCAAGGGCAGCTCCTGTTCGCAGGTACAGGATCAAGTGGCGCTCCTTTGTCCACGTGCGCCACTCTGGGCCTGTTGGTAAATGACACCAAGTCCACATTAGTCCTAGTTCAACGCACAGAGTTTATTGGGGCAGTCCTGGACGCCACATCGGCCAGAACCTCCCTCCCACCGGACAAGTTTGAGACCCTAAAAGGACTCATCAACACAGTCATGAGGTTTCCAGTGACAACAGCCAGAGTGTGTCTCCAGCTCTTGGGTCACATGTTGGCATGCACATATGTGGTTCGTCACGCCAGACTCAGGATGAGGCCCCTCTGGTTAGCCTCGTGTTCTCCCAGGCCAGAGACAAGATGGACAAGGACCTCACTGTGCCCGAACCGGTGATCGCCTCCCTTCGATGGTGGTCCCCCCACAGGGAACATGCTCTGCGGGGTCCCGTTCAGAGGCAGGCCACCATCGATGGAACTGGTGTCTGACACGTCGGACCTGGGGTGGGGAGCCCATGTGGGAGACGTTCAGACTCAAGGGCTGTGGTCAGCCCAGGACCTGGCCCTCCACATAAACGTCAAGGAGCTCAGGGTGGTCTGGCTGGTGTGCGTGGCCTTCCGCTCGCACCTGGAGGGCCGTGTGGTCAGGGTTTTCACGAACAACACGACCTCGATGTTTTACATCAAGAGGCAAGGTGGTGCCCAATCATCTGCCCTCTGCCTGGACCCCCCCAGCTGTGAGACTTCTGTATAGCTCACGACATTTGCCTAAGGCCTACCACCTACTGCGTGCCCAGAATTCGCAGGCGGATCACTTGAGCAGGGACTTTTCCTCTCAGCACGAGTGATCTCTTCACCCATAGATGGTGCACAGACTTTTCCAAGAGTGGGGAACTCCCCAGGTGGACCTGTTTGCAACTCGAAGGAACTGTCGCTGTCCCCGGTTCTGATCCAGGGGGGCTGGGATGGGGATGGGCTGGGCTATCCCTGATGCCTTCCTCCTATCCTCGTCAGGCCAGTTGCTCTATGCCTCCCCCCGGTTCCCACTCATCGGCAAGGTCCTGGAAAAGATAAAGACGGACAATCCTCCTGATTGCCCCAGCATGGCCAAGGCAGCATTGGTACAGGACCTTCACGAGCCCGGCGGTTGCCCCACCATGGTCGTTACCGTCCCACCTGGACCTGATCTCCCAGGACCAGGGCCACTTCCTCCACCCCAACCTAGCAGCACTCCACCTCACGGCGGCTGAGTGGGGCGTCTCCCCCGTGGCTGCACCAATCCAGCTCATTTTGGACTACCTCTTTCACCTTAGAGCCCAGGGCTTGGTGCCCTCATCTGTCAAGGTGCACTTGGCAGCCATTTCGGCCTTCTACCTGCCGGTGCAGGGGCACATGGTATTCTCCCATGCCATGACTGGCCAATTCCTTAAGGGATTGGATCGTCTCTTCCCGTACATTAGGCCACCGGTCCCGCAGTGGGACCTGAACTTGGTGCTGGCCCAGCTGACGGGTCCCCCATTTGAGCTGCTAGCTACGTGCTCCTGGTCGCAACTCTCATGGAAGGTAGCCTTCCTGGTAGCGATCACATTGGCTAGGTGGGTCTCAGAACTCAGGGCCCTGACCTCCGAGCCCCCATATACGGTGTTCCATAAGGATAAGGTCCAGCTCTGCCCACACCCTTCGTTCCTCTCGAAGGTGGTCTCCGCCTACCACATGGGTCAAGACATTTTCCTGCTGGTCCTCTGCCCCATGCCCCATGCATCCAGTGAGGAGCGCCGCCTCCACTCGCTGGATGTGAGACGGGCTCTGGCTTTTTACCTGGAGTGGACTAAGCCATTCAGGAAGTCTTTGCAGCTGTTCATTGCCTTGGTCGAATGCATGATGAGTCAGCTGATCTCCACTCAGCGGCTCTCCAACTGGATCACCTCGTGCATCCGTACCTGTTATGACCTGGCGGGAATCCCCCAGCCATCAATTGTGAGGGCACACTCACTAGGGCGCAAGCCTTGTTGGCTGACTTTTTAGCCCATGTTCCCATTCAGGACATTTGCAGAGTTGCCACATGGTCTTCAGTTCACAGGTTCACCTCCCAGACCAGGGACGACGCCGGGTTTGGTAGGCCTGTGCTCCATCCCAAGAATTTGGGAACTCCTACCCGCCTCCAACAGATATAGCTTGGAATCACCTATTGTGGAATACACATGAGCAATCACTCGAAGAAGAAAAGACAGTTACCTTTTCCGTAACTGGTGTTCGAGATGTGTTGCTCATGTCTATTCCACATCCCACCGCCCCCTTCCCCTCTGTCGGAGTTGTCTGGCAAGAAGAAACTGAAGGTGGGGGGCGCATGCAGCACCCCTTATACCGCACCACGGAGACCCCACTCCAGGGGTTGCTAGGGGCACTCCCCTATGGGTACTGCTAGGGGAAAAACTTCCGGCACCAGTGCACGTGGCGAGCGCACACACCTATTGTGGAATAGGCAGGAGCAAGACATCTCAAAGAACACCAGTTACAGAAAAGGTAACTGTCTTTTATATGTTCAACATGCATCTCCCATTGACAATAATTTTAGCTGTAAAAACTCAACCCTAAGGTCTCAAGTGGAAAAACAGTATGTGTTAATGTAATTAAGACTACCATAATGCATATGCACAAAGGGACTGAATTAACATTGCACAGGCGACCTTAATTCTGGCCTTTTCCTAATTTTTGAGTGTTTTGACTTTGCAACCTTATGTTTTTTAATGTAGTTTTTTGTGTGTAATTTCCTAGCTTTTAAAAAAAGCAAACTAAAAAAACAACACTGCCATGCTGTGGCTTCATATTGACCTCTTCATGGCTCATAAGCAGGGTTGCAACCTTTAGAGCCACAGCACAGACCTCTGTCACTTGAGCTAAGGGAACAACTGATACTAATAGGAGGTTGTCACCCTCTGTGTGAAGCAGCACTAGAAGAGGATGAGATGCGTGCTTTTCCAGTGGATATCACAGATATTTGCTGCCAACAGAGGAATGGTGGGACTCCAAGATCTTGGGTTCCATTTCAGTTTCTGCAGGGCAGTATTAACTAGTGGGCATAGATCCTTCTGTGCCTGTGCCTCCCAAACCTAATCCCTTTTGCTGGTCCTTTCTCTTTCTGTCTCTCAATTCCTCGTCCGAGTCTCTACTCCCCACGCTCCTTGTCCCACTCTCCAATCCCCCAGACTCCCCATCCAGTCCCAATCTTTCCCCAGCCCTGTCTCGCAGTTTCCTACTTAAGCAACTTGTTCTAATCCCTACCTGGCTTTTTGTCCAATCTCAGTCTTCCCCAACACTGGCTCCACGTCTCCTTGCCTAGCCAGTCCCAGTATCACCCCTCCCCCCCCCGGACCCAGGGCTGGCTCCAGGCACCAGCGAATGAAGCAGGTGCTTGGGGCGGCCAATGGAAAGGAAGGCAGCACGTCCAGGTCTTCGACGGCGAGTCCCTCAGTCCCTCTCGGAGGGAAAGACCTGCTGCCAAATTGCCACCGAAGAATGAAGTGGCGCAGTAGAGCTGCTGCTGAAGTGCCACCAATTGCAGCTTTACCTTTTTTTGTTTTTCTTTTTCCTGCTTTGCCGCGTGGGGCGGCAAAAAAGCTGGAGCCAGCCCTGCCCCCACCACCAATTCCTTGTTTTAGTCTACTCTTTCCATCCCATCTCAGCCCCAGGTCCAGCTCTTGTTCTCTCATCATTTCAGTCCTACTCCTCCACACTGCCTGTGAACCAGCAGGGGGAACACTGAAATCACAGGAGAGTTTCCCTGTTCTCAGCTATTAGGCCTGACACTCCTAGAGCAGCAAGCGCAGAGAAAGTCTTGTTCAACCACTGCAGCTCCAGCATGTAGCATGCTCACTGCAGATGGAATTGTCAGGGAATTTAGCTATCGACCACTAATAAAGTCTCTATGGAGCATGCGTGAACTGAGATTTTCCCAGGGGCTTATAACTTGACATATTTGGGAGGATTTGCCTAGGGATGGCATAAGGCACACATCTGACACCAGGGTGAATCCCTCGCCAAATTCCTAATCCCTGCTTTAGAGCATGGGGGCACAGGAGTGTCTCAGTTATAAGAATTTGTTTAACATAGGCAAAACAATATGTTTTTCCTAGTCTTTTATTCTTGGAAACAAACAAAAATTAAAAATAAATAAATAAATTAAATCAGTCTGAAGCATGGAAAAAATCCACTCAAAGAGTTAAAGCTGTAAGTGAAAAGAAGGTTTTATAATGGGCAGTGTCAGAAAACCTCATCGATAGGTGGCACTACCAGCTCTGCTTATAATATGTAATGGCTGAGAAATCATGAAGATGGTATTATGAAGCACTTAAACTCTCTCCTGTGCTTATATTACTGTAATGTGATATGATATGTATAAAAATCACAAGTCCTTGTATAGCATTGCCTCAGTCTATTTATCTATAGAAACTAGTGTGTGTACATAGGTCCTCAGATACTACAATGATAGGTATAGTGTAAGAACCTAGAAGTGTTGAGTGTGGCACAGCTAACTACAGTATACAGCATTCTATCTAGCAAATACACATACACGCTGTGTTTGTATGTATGAGTACATATGTATAAATATGAGAGAGAAATTGGTGTTTGTTAGAGTTAGGGTGACCAGATCACCAAAGACAAATATCGGGACGC